GGAGGGGGGGGGGGGGGCGCGTGGTGTCAGAACGTCCAAAAACTGCCTCGGCGAGGAAACCAAACTCATTGATTTGACTCTGGTGTTGGCCCCATTTTGGCCTCCTGGGGGGGCGCGGCTAATTAATGCTCCACACTTCTTTGATTGATCTCCTCCAAGATGGCCCCAAGCAGCGCCCAGGAGGCCCCAAGATGGCCCAAGATGGCCCCAAAATGGCCCCAAGAGGCCCCCAAGAGGCCCCCAGGAGGCCCCCAAGAGGCCCCCAACAGGCCCCAAGACCCCCCAGAGGCACCCAAGATGCTCCAAGGCCTCGGTGAGAATGCCAAAACGGCCTCGGCGAGGAAGTCAAAATCATTGTTTTTTCTAAGGTGTTGGCCCCACTTTGGCCTCCTGGGGGGGGACGCAAATTAATGCTCCCCTCTTGTTTGATCAATCTCCATCAAGATGGCCCCAAGAAGCGCCCAGGAGGCCCCAAGAGGTCCCAGGATGGCCCCAAGATTGGCCCCAAGAGGCCCCCAAGAGGCCCCCAGTAGGCCCCCAAGAGACCCCAAAGAGGCCCCCCAGAGACCCCCCAGAGGCACCCAAGATGCTCCAAGAGGCCTCGGCGAGAATGCCAAAACGGCCTCGGCGATGAAGCCAACATCATTGGTTGTACTATGGTGTTGGCCCCATTTTGGCCTCCTGGGGGGGGCGGGCTAAATAATGCTCCCCTCTTGTTCGATCGATCTCCTCCAAGATGGCCCCAAGAAGCGCCCAGAAGGTCCCAAGAGGTCCCAGGATGGCCCCAAGAGGCCCCCAAGAGGCCCCCAGGAGGCCCCCAAGAGACCCCCAGAGGCACACAAGATGCTCCAAGAGGCCTCGGCAAGAATGCCACATCATTGATTTCACCAAGTTTAGCCACATGTTGGTCTCTTGGGGGGGAGCACTGATTAAGATGACTCCAAGAGCGCCTGGGAGAGCCCAAGATGACCTCCAAGATGGCTCAAGATATCCCAAGATGTCTCATACTTGCTTCCTCTGTGTGGTGCCCGCTTCCCTGATCCAGGCAATTCCTCTGGGCATCGTTTCTGGATGGGCTGGTGGGGATTCGCGAAGCATCAACACTGTCTGTTTTCCCTACCTCGGCTCTGCCTAGAAGGGTTCTTACCCTGTGTGCTTAAAGGGCCGGGCAGTGCTAATGGCCCTGGGCGGTTCCCCTGGCATCCGTCCCGAGGTCCCCCAGTTACTTCCCCTTAGCTTAGCGTTGTTAATATCATCTTAGCTTAGCTTAGTTCATCTTAGCTTAGCTTAGCTTCATCTTAGCTCAGGTGTATCTTAGTTTAGCTTCCCTTCATCTTAGCTATGCTGAGCTTTAGCGTAGCAGAGCACAGCATAACATAGCATAGCGTAGCATAGCGTAGCACATGATATCATAGCATAGCCCAGCATATCATAGCGCAGTATAGCATAGCGCAGCACAGCAGAGCATAGCACAGCATAGCATAGCCTAACATAGCATAGCATATCATAGCATAACGCAACATAGTATAGCATAGCATAGCATAGCATACCATAGCGCAGCATAGCATGGCATGGCATGGCATGGCATAGCAACTAATGCTGCTTTCCTAGGGGCCCCAACTTCTATGTAGGGTCGCACTGGGGTGATAAATCTACATAAAAAAAACTCCAGCCGCGGGTGCAGAATTCGACGGGTGCCTGCGAAAACGTGAACATCTGCGGGGGGGGAATCAGATACCTCAGACCCGTCTGGACCCGCCTAAGGCAGGAACAATTAGCATCGAATCGGCAAATCGGATCGGATCTGAGCGTGATAAGACCGCATCGGCCGAGAGTCGGAAACAAATCGGACAGGCGCCGGGATGCACAAGAGCGCCATGCAATTATCAAGCCGCATCGAACCGCCAGAATATCGGAATCGAATCGGATGGGAGCGGCCAAAATCGATATCGAATCTGATCGATCTGGTCGAAATCGGCCCTGCTAGGGCGGGGCTTGCATGCGGCTGCCAACCACAGCGCCTGACGAGCCCCCACCCCACCCGGGACCCAGCCTGAGCACGAGTAGGGAGGCCTTACCCACCCCCCTGGCATCGAGAAGGCGCCGCAACGCGGGCCACATTGAGGCCAACTGGGGGCATCAGCATCAACCGATTGAAATTCTCGACATCTAGCTGCTGTAAGGCGCCCAGAAACCCGAAGGCTCCCGAACAATGGCGGTAACGTCCTCAATCCTCCCCTGCTCCCTCCCCGACGAGGCCGCAGCAAGGAAATCTCAGCCAGCGGTAGCTCTTGGTGAAGTGTTTGCACGCGCCTTTGCCCGGAAGCGGCTGCCCAGCGACGACGCCGAGGGCCTTCTCCTGCATGGCTATCGGTCCCCACGCGCTTTCAATGATCCTTACTTTCTCCGCCTTGCCTCTTACGTCCAACTATTCCTGCCCATCCGCCACCCCCCCATCCCCCTCCACTCCTCCCTTCATGTTCACCGTGTCTCTCTACACTGCGGTTACCTCCTCCTCCTCCGTTTCCTCCCCCTTTTCCTCCTCCTCCTCCTCCTCCTCCTCCTGACCCTCCTCCCTCTCCTCCTCGACACACTTCCGGACGTGTCTATAGGGCGGGTTGGGCGTTTTGACTCAAACTTGCTCGCAACTGATCGACCTGTGAACCTCTGAACCCCATCAGTTCCACGTTGGAAAGCGCATTGTCATCAAAATCTGGTTCTCGCCTTGCGCCGCGTAGAATTCTTTGTTTTTTTGTCCAGCCAGGCGGCGCATGGATCCTGAGTCCTCGCGTGCACGCAGCGGTGACGCAAAGGCCCTGCAATCGAGAAGAACGGCAGATTGCGTTCACTCTTGCGGCTACAGCGAATTCGAGCTCACTCTGGACAGGCTGAAAGACAAGGCGGCTGCGAAACCCGATCTCGGGCCCAGGCGCAGCCACTCAGAAGCGGTCCGCGGGCCCCTCGTCGTCGTCCGTGAACTCCTCCTTGTCGTCCTCCTCCATGTCCTCGTCGTCCTCCTGCTCCTCCTCCTTCGGGGCCTGCTCGTTTCCGTGCTGCCTGCCAGGGAAGCCGATCGGCATCGCCAATGGCACGCGATTCCGGATTGCCTCCAGACGCGCCGCGTGCCTCGCCTCCTCCTGTGCCAGCCAGGCCTCCGAGTCCTGCTGAGGCTGGCCCAGGCGCCACGCTGCCGCCGCGGTCGGCAGCTGCAGCGACGGGAACATCGGGGGCTACCTCTGCCCGCGCGCGCGCGGAGGGCGGGCTGCAGCCCGTCGCGGCCTCTCTCGCGCCAGAGGGCTCTCTCGCGGCCTGCAGCCCGTCGCGGCCTCTCTCTCTCTCTCTCTCTCTCTCTCTCGTGCGCCGCGTAGAATTCGTCTTGCATGTTCCCACAAGCGCACTGAGCCCAGGCCATTTCCAGCATATGGCTCTCGCATCAGCTCTCGCGTCAGCTTGGCTTAAAGCATGCAACAGCTACACTGGTGAAGCGCAATAATCTTAAATGTGGGTTTCGTCTCAGCGCCTCGCACACTCGTATTCATTACCGCCCACAGTCACACGCATGCAACAACTACGCAGTTTGAAAACATACAGTGTCCAACATGTGGTTCTCACCTGAGCGCCACGCACACTCGTCTTACACAAGTTCGCGTGTTCTGCTGTTCCACGGGTGGGACACAGTAGCTCTCAAGCGTAGCTCTCGCCTTGGTTCCGCGCGTATTCGTCTAATCTTCCCTAGCAGTCACAGATGGAGGGGGGGGACCGTTTCCGACGTCTGGCTCTCATTTCAAGCTTGCAAGGAGGCGAAGGGTTCCCAGCACTTCGACCTCTGGGCCGCCTTGGGGGTTCCCACCGAGCGTGAGGGAGGTTAGGGCCCTCCTCCAGTGGTGGCGCGAGGCAGCGCCTGCCACTCTCGCGAAGGTGCATGGCAGAAAGGCCTTACCCCCTGAACATAGGAAGACCCCCTAAGCAGACACCATTCCCATGACTGGTACCCTCCCCCGCCTCCTTCTCCTCCTCCTCCTCCTCCTCCTCCTCCTCCTCCTCCTTCTCATCATCATCAGCATCATCATCCTCGTCGTTGGCACAGAAGCATCATCATCAGCAGCATCATCACCCACAACATCATCAACCTCATCATCAACAACAAAGCATAACCATCATGGCCAGCATCATCATCAGCAGCAGCATCCTCATCAGCGTCAGCATTGCCATCATCATCATCATCATCATCATCATCATCATCATCATCAGCAGCACCATCATCACCATCACCATCACGATCAACATCACCATCACCATCATCATCATCGCCATCATCAGCAGCATCATCACCATCATCAGCATCAGCATCATCATGACCATCATTTGTATCATTACCACTATCAGCATCACAATCATCAGACGTAGCAGCATCATCATCATCATTATAATCACCATCACCATCAAGATCACCGTCACCGTCACCATCACCAGCATCACCATCATCACCATCAGCAGCAGCAGCAGCATCACCATCAGCAGCAGCAGCATCATCACCAGTATCATCATCACCATCATCCTCATCATCCTCATCCTCATCCTTATCCTGATCCTCATCCTGTTCCTCATCCTCATCCTCATCCTCATCCTCATCCTCATCATCATCATCATCATCATCATCATCATCATCATCATCCTCATCCTCAACAGCATCATCATCATCATCATCATCATCATCATCATCATCATCCTCAACAGCATCATCATCATCATCATCATCATCATCATCATCATCATCATCATCATCATCCTCAACAGCATCATCATCATCATCATCAGCATCAGCATCAGCATCAGCATCCTCATCATCATTGTCATCATCATCGTCGTCGTCGGCAGCAGCAACAGCATCCTCATCCTCATCCTCATCCTCACCCTCATTATCATCCTCGTCGCATCCTCATCCGCATCCTAATCCTCACCACGATCATCCCTTCTCAAAAAGGGGGAGCTGCCGCGTCCTGCCGGCGAGCCTCCTGCAGCCTCTTCCTCCGGGAGGGCGACAGCTACCGACCCTACACCGACCCTACACCGCCCCAGGCGGGGCAACTCCTCGCAGGAGCGACCGACCCTGGGACCCGGCGGCCACGGCACGTTCATAAGAGAAGGCCGCCCCCCGACGCCTGGAGGTCTGTGCCCACCGATCCTGGGACGCCCAGGCTCGGTGGACCCAAACATCCGGACGTCGGAACAAATACACGACGGCCAATTTTCTCGCCCAGTTCTGGGCGTCCCGCGGGCCGCTCTTGGGCGCCTGAGCCAAAAGAAACCGAACAGGGGAGAGACATCCGTCCCAGGACTGTCAGTCATGACGGCCCACGCCGTGAAAGGTCACATCGGCGTCTGAACGGAGACCCTCCCCCTGGCCCAGCAACGATGGCGTGTACGCTGGTCCTGGGCCCACTCTCGGCCCAGCCAGGATCGGCGCACCTGGATGGCGCAAACATTCGACCTTTTGCTTCAATTCGGGGCACCCCGAAGTCACGACCTGTTCCCCAGAGCCGACTTGTTGTGTTGATGGTCCTGGGGCCCACGCGAGGGCCCCACGGGGCCGAAAACGGAGAACAATCTCCGCACTGATTTGTTCAATGCGCTGAACTCTGGGTAGTTGGCGTCCCCCGGCTCCTCGCGTTCATCTGGTCGCCCCCCTCCTCGGCGATCTTGCGCCACCGCTCGACCGCTGGGCCTCCCGACGGGGCGGATCGCGCCTCGAAGCTGCAAGGGGGACCTGCACAACGTAAATGAATAAGGGGGCAGCAGAAGAGGAGTATCGCCACCGTGCCGACGGCACGTGGTGGAGCGTCCTCAGACCCTTGGCGGCCCTCGGCATTAATCGGCGGTGGACACTGACTCCCTTTAGAAACCACTCTTTTTAGTGAAATCGGCCTTGGGCCGAAACCGACGGACCTGGACCCGCAAAAATAATGGCCGCGACGCCCTCTCGCAAACCGAAAACGGCCAATCCACTAATCGACGTGTCAGGGTAGGAGGTCTATCAACCTCCGATTTAAGTGCTGAGTGGAGCGGCGGAGCGGCGCCGATGTCGCCCGGGGGCGCCCCATGTAGGGAACGGTGGGTGCGCCGGGGCGCCTCAGTTGGATGCCTGTCCGCACGCAGATTCCATGCTCATCCAGTGAATGCGATTCTGGGCAAGCAACTCCCAGTTCCCATCTGCATGGCGTTGCCGCGCTGTCGCACAAATCTTGTCGAACCATCGCAGGCGTGGTCGTTGCGGCAAACTCCTGGCCCATACATCGCAATAGGGTGGATCCCACATTACAACCTTCCAGTTCCACTTGTGCTTCTCGTGGGCAAGTTTTGACACCCAGCCTCGTAACCCACCGCCACTTCCGTCGTCGTTGCATTGTGACCCAATCCTCGTCGCCAACTTGGTATATATATATATATATATATGTGTGTGTGTGTGTTCTGCCGTGCGCGTTGCCCTCTTGATCCAATCGCGCCGCGGCTCTGTGCGAGCATTTGAATCAAGAGGACGAAGATGTAGAACTGTCGCTGGTGCTTTCGGCTGATCCCGTGTCAACAGAGTGATGGTGTCATCGACGCCGCGTGCCTCCCAGCTGTCCGCAGTGTCGGTGAACCGGCGTCGTGGCGTGCTCAAAATCATGCGTAGCATTCGGCGCTGCGTAGTCCGGATTGTGAGCGCCAAATCGGCCTCGAGCGCCCACGACGCGCATCCGCACAACATAACTCCACGAACAACATCGTTGAATATGCGCAGGCGGTCGCGTAATGAATACGCTTTGCTGGTGAGATCTTCCTTGAGCAAGCAAAATTTTCTCCGAGCGGCTTTGATCCGTGACTCGATATCTGTCTCCAATGGGTCACAAAAGTGAACAGCCGGCCCAGATATTTCTGTGTCCTGGAGAAAGGCAATAATTCGATCTGCATGCCATCAAAGACTGTGAATTCTGGGGTGCTTTTTGGTTTCCCGTGGCATAGGTTGGTCAAGATCATCGTTCTGTCGGGGTGAACCTCCAAGCCTACCTTCGAAGCAGCAAGTTGCACGTCTGATCGCACTCGCTTGATCAGAGTCATCGACCCACCAATGAACAATACATCGCCCGCAACTCTGAGATTGGTGAGTCGCGTGCCCTCAACGCATGATAGTTGGATGCCGGACTTGCGCTTATCGGGTAGACTTTATTGCGACATACTGTTGAATAACAACGAACTCATTGGATCCTCCTGCTTCGCCCCTCGTGCACTGCGGAATTCTCGGCTCGACGTGTCCGTCTTCGCGACAGCTGTCTGGCCAGAGTACAACTTGGCAGTCGTGCCGGTCTACGGTGCCGGCACAGATTGTGCTTCCAAAGCCGTCCAAATTGCATGGTGGGAGACTGCGTCGAAATCTTTCTCGAAATCCAGCGTAGCCGCCCAAACCGGGAACTGCAATATCCTCCTTGTTCGATAAGGATTGCGAGCGCAAACATATGGTCATCTGTACAATCATTATACCGGAACGAAGGTTGGGATTTGTCGAGAACTGGCTCCAAACGATTGTACAGCAATCGAGAAAAAACTTCGTACATAAATGGAATGATACGCATCGGTCTGTAATTCTGCGGTAAAGACGCATCCCCAAATTTGAACAAAATGCTGATCTAGGTGCGATGCCAACTCTCTAAAATATGTGCACCTGTCACCAGTGCCATGTTGAATGCATCTAATAGCGCGCGTCGCAAGATGCCCCCCCCCCCCCCCCCGCCCCCATGCTTGAGCATCTCTGCTGCAATGCCCGATGCGTCTGCAGACTTACCGTTCTTCCACTGCCTGGGCCCCGTGGACATCTCCGCGATACTCAAAGGAGGGATGCCCGGCTTGGCAGCAGGTCGTTGGTTGCCCGTGTCTGCGTGGGTCGCTGCGTACAACTGCCCGCAGACATGCACGAATACGTCTGCGATCGCACGTTGATCAAGTACCAGGTCTCCGCCAGAAGACTGCATAGATGTAATGTGCCTCTTTCGCTTCGCACTCTTGATGCAACTGACATGTCGCAACCCCTTCAACCCATTCAGAATACGACCAATGCGAACCTTGTGATTATTGCGTCGCTGTGCTCTGATACGTTGTTTGACCTTGTTGCTCGCCACTCGTCGTTCCAACGCGCTGATTGCTGGTAACGCACTCCGCTGCGCAATCAAATCGTGTAAAATATTATTGGCCTGGCCATTACAATTGTTGTAACCGTTTGTTGACGGCTCCCCCATCGCATCCCGCATCGCACTCTCGATTCCCGCGTGCAACCCCTCCACTGTGCCGTCGCATGGCGTCCCTTGCAGATTCTTCCCCACGTCGGTAGCGTCCTGCTGCGTATCACGAAATGGCCATATTGTCCGGACTTCCCGTGCGCGTTTGGATTTGATTTTGCGCGTGCTCATGTTGGGCGTCAGCTTGCGAAAGATGTTGCCCTGCAGCTTCAGCGCTCGATGGTCAGACCCCAGATCGACGGCATCGTTCGCAGCGCAGTCCGCCACTGTCTTCCAAAACCACCTGCGCACGATGATATAGTCCAACTGCCGCTGGCCATGCTGCGTGGCGGTAAATATGCAGATCCTCGGGCTGATTTGTTTCAAAGTCGTATTTGTAAACGCCAGATTATCGGAAACAACCCAATTCTTCAACCACTGCCCCCGTATATTCCCAGGTGCACGGGCGCGCGTACGGCACGCTCTTGGATCGTCGTATTCCGCCGCAGGCCCCACCTGAACATTGCAGTCCGCACCGATGATAATACTCAATTTTCGTCGCCTGGTCTCCGGCGTCAGAGAAGACAAGACAGAGTAAACAGGCTGCGCGTGGTCGCCGGAAAACTTGGCGCGCGGAAAATAACCGGCGACAAAACGGACTTTCAGTGAAACGTGGACGACGTCCAAGCAAGCAATGCGGGCGTTAATTGATACAAACTGCGAGTTGTACCCAGTTCACCGGGAGTGCAAGAGTATGCCAACTCCATGCTTGTGCGAACCTGCCCAAGATCCTGCAAACAAATGTCCATCCTCGGTGGTCCACATATCCCGTCGCTGTGAGCGCATCGTTTCGCTGAGTAGTATGGCGTCCCAATGTATCCCAACAAGCTCCGCCAATAATTCAAGAAATGCGTCGTCGGTTGTCATCCCCCTCGCATTCTTCTGAACGACGGTGAAGTTCAACGAGCTCCCAGTGGGGGGCATGCGAAGCTGTCGGCCACTCCCGGGCGTAGTGGCAGTCGGCATCGCATCTCGTGATCGGACCTGGTGAAAACGAAACGGGAGTCGGTGAGACTGGTAAGGGTGAAACTGGAGACTGCGAGAAACCGATGGGAATGGATACGTAATCGTAGGAGGTCGGATAACGGCCCGGAATTGGAGCGTAGGTGACCTAGTCGTCGTAGCCGGAGTCGGGTTGTCTGCTGCAGCAACAGGTCTCCTGATAATTGGTGGGTTACGTCAGAAAGATAAAGGGGCATCACCTGCTACATGAACCAATGTTCCTCTGCCGCCCCCCCGAAACAATAGATGAAGGACGGAATGTTGATATACTCCCTATTGGGCTCCTATTTTCTCGACTTACGTCTGCACCGAAAATCGGAAAATCTAGCATGCGAAGACATGTCCAGACGATCTTGCATGAACCCTTGGGATGTGTAGCGTGCCGCGTGCCGTTCGTGGTTGGGCGGCAATCGTCCAAGGTGTTTTGTGGGAGTGTGGTCGATGTCCTCGACCAGTCCTGGTAGGCGCCAAAGTTTCTGTAGGCAAATGAAGTTCTGAGGCGATTGCAGCCCCCTCTTCTCCTCTGGGGGTGGCAGAGAATGCTCGCGAGACTGACCTTGTAGATGCCTTCCTGCCACTAGTAGTGGAGCGGCGTCACGACGTCACTCGCTTTCTGTCTCAGGTTCCCGGCGCATATTATTCCTCAAAGCTTCCATGACTTCATTCACCTCCTCCTCCACTGCATGCCCGGATGTCGTGGTATGCCCCTCCCCCTCCCCATCATGCCATGCAATTTTCCTCTCTTTCCCAGCGCCGTCCTTCAGCACAATCATACTCGGGGGCCAAATGATACGGATATCATGATGTGAGTGCTGAGGTCGTTTGCAAAGAAAGTGCTTCGTATGCCCCAACCGTTTTTCCCGGTCACGTTCATCCATTGTCAACTTGTTCCGAAAGAATATATGTCCGAACGCGGTTTCGCCGATTGATAATGCAGCCTTGGCCTTCTTCAAAAAGTCAACGTTTGCTGCAACAGTTGGGAATTCGACCATACCCAGTCTGGTCAAATCCGTACCGGTTGTCGCCGTAGCGTGGGTACCAGATCCGAAAAGTCGCTGAAGAAATTGTTCGAGGCGTTGTATCGCTGCCGTTGCTGTCGTATGTCCTTCGGATCCGAGGGCAATGACCTGCCTGGCGCGGCAGTCCTTCTCCTTCTCCTACGTGTTGCCCTCCCTTGTTTGGCGATCCCTCCTGTTCCCCCATGCTGCGTCGGATCGCTGGTGCCGCAAGGCGCGTTGGATCTTATCTTCGATCATCGTGCCAACCATTTCCTGTACATTCTCTTGCGTTACGTAAAGATCGTCCATGTCCTCTCGGATCGCTTCAACTTCGCCTTCGATTTCAACAACCCTGTTGCGAAGATCCCTCATGTCCCATTTCATTTATTTAACTTCTTCTTTCGTCTGTTTGACCGTGTCGCTGACATTCTGGAGCTGCCGGGTAAGTGTGTTGGACTTTCTGTTCTGGCGTTGTTCGTACTGTTGAAACCAAGCTGGTGCCTCCATCCTATCACCTTTTCCTTTCCCACCTCCCGCACCTTCTAATTGTAATTCCACTTCCGAATCCTCCCCGTCGCCGACCTTCATGTTCATGAATTCCTTCATGTTATCCTTGCGGCCTTCCTTCTCGTCCGATGTAAAACCCGCTGCAGTCCCTGATCGCTTAGCCATGATCCCACCTGCCCTGCACACGTCCTGACACAAAACAGATGAGTCCCCAATCAGACGCTGACGTAACAGTTAGCGAAAGAGATGTTCAATCGCCAGAGTAAGGTGTACGAGTATGCACCCCTGAGTGTGCACCCTTGCTTGAGTGCTGAAGAGATGGAACCCGGTGAAGGCCCCGGATCACCGGTTCACGGGCGTTGTCGGGCGCTCTCGGGCGCTCGTGCGCGCCTCCACGGCTCCCCGCGCGACCTTTCCCGAGGCCTTCGAACGGTGGCTGGAAAATCAGGCCTCTAGACGCGCGAAGAAGGCTCCATGGGGGCCACTTCGGAGCCATGTTGGATTCGTCTTGGCCGCATTGGAGGCCCTGGGGGGCGGCGCGAGAGCCCCCAAGCCTCCAAACACCGTCGATATGCCTTTGGTGCTCATGCTTTCGCCTCTGGGGTCCTCAGAGCGTTCTACAGACAGCTCCGAGGTCCCCAAAAAGAGGCCCAAGAGGCTGGTGCGCTCGCGACTCGGAAGATCCCGAAGACTCACTATCAGCACTTTGGCGACCACCCTCACTGGAATCCACGGTTGATGTTTTTTCCATCGCCCGCGCGCTCAGCGGGACGGCTGCAGGCGGTGCCTCCCATCTCTTCCAAGGAAAAGCGGCTGAATTGGACTGCAGCTGCTGCCCGCGCTAGCGCGGAACAGCACCAGCGTCGAAATCAAAAAGATGGACCCGCGCCAAAAAGAGGATCTCCTGGGGCTGAAGAAGCCCGCGGGGTTCCCAAAGCGGGCTATCCTGGACCACGTCGAGACACATCTTGCTGCCAGCGCCGAGAGGGCTTGAGCCAAAAGTGGGCACAGGGGAGGGGGGGAGAAAAAAGAGGCGGGGGGCTGAGGAGCTCCAGGGGGTCGAGGATGACGAGCGGGAGATGGGGTGAAGACAGATGTGCAACACGATTTGGCTTCGAACTGCTGTTGATGCCCTCAGACGCTCCCTGCGATGATGCTGACTGAGGCCGCCATGGCAGCAGCAGGTGTTCACCACGTAAGTGCCCCAGCCTGGCAGGTACGTCCCAGAGAACAAAGATGGCGACTTCGATCGTGTGCAAGCACGTGCCTGACACTCCCACGCTTCAACGTCAGGGGAGGCTGGCGGCGCGCGCGCCCAGAAGTTCTGCACCCTCGATGGCCAGGTTCAGCTTCGCGTAGCACTTCGGGCA